GGTTTAAATAAAAATGTTAAAATATGTTACCGTATTCATTGACTGCACCCAATACAATCAAAGAAATAAATGTAACACTACAGCCCAAGTCGTAGGTTTGTTTCCAGACCTACAGTTAATCCAACCCTAATTTTTTCATTTTAGGCAGCAAATAATTCAAGTGATAGTTTTTTCTTCTAACATTTTTGTTCTAATTTCGAGTAAACTAATGTTACTTGATAAATATTCATCACATAAATTTTCTATAGTTCTAATTTCGAGTAAACTTGATAAATATTTTTTCATCTGAAACTCAATTTTTAAACCCGTTTAAGTCATTTGTCCCCTATTGTTTTTAAACATCCGGTTCACTTGGGCTAGGCATAGACTCTGTGCGGGCCACCCGCCCTGGGAATCATATGTTTTCAACATAGTTTTTTCTCCTAACATTTTTGTTAGTGAACATTTTTTCATAATATGAAGTTCAAATTTGGATTGAATTTGATAAATCTTTTTTAATTTGAATTAACGAAAATATGTACTAACATTTTTGCTAGTACACTTTTTTCTACTAACATTTTTGGACATAAATTTTCATCACATGAATATAGATTTAATTTGATCGATATTTTTAATCTGAAACTTATATTTAAATCTTTATAAACTTTGGCAGCAATCACATTTTTTCACCATCCGTCAAACTTAGGCAGTAATGACATTTTTTCATCAGAAACTTTTTTTGTAGGTTTGTTGTTTAACCACAGTGCTATCAGCACAAAACCATGTTTAAACTGATAACTCAATTGCGTTTTATTTATATTTAAAACAATTACAACTCTCACAAATAAGAGATATTTGCTGCCTACAATTTCCATAACAATCAAGTCTTGTGGACCCTCCTCTCTGTCTTCTCGATCCTCCATATGACAATCTCCATTCCGCAATATCTATGCAATGTCCTTATGCCATATCGTTCGAATGTATTCTTAGGTGCCCTTCAACTCTGCAAAATTCACATGGCCAAATCGAACATAGGAAAATAGTTTTGAATATTTAATTTAAGCGTTAGGTCTATAGTTTAAGCCTACAACTTCAACATAGCAAAAGGGACTTAGAATTATTACAGGCCCAGCTCAAAGTTTAGCAAAAAGGTTTAGTACTGTTTTAAATAAACATGAAAGATTCTAAACAAAATATTCATAAAATCATCAATCTGAGTCCTTTGTCAACAAAATGTAGCCGAGCCTGTTGTTGAGTCTCCCCTATTCCTTCTCAATCTTTATGCGGATACTCCTCCTTTTGTTGTTTCCGTTAGCCGAAAACTGGTCATTCAGATTCCTCTTAAGTTGTTCGTTCCCTTCAATATGGCCACTTTTCCGATTAGCTGTTGGTGTTTCTTGGCAATCTACTTCCTTACTCTGGTCCATAGACAAAAAATTTAATCATTGCCTTTATACTTGACTCTAAAAAAAGTCAAAAAAAGGACCACATCATAACATATACCTTTTCAGCTGCCCTCCTTTCATCTCTGTCTTGAACTTGGGTGGGTGACACGAAATCATCATCTTCAATTAAAACAGCATGTATACTAAATATATTAGTAATATGCAATGCAACAACGTTCTTGTTAGGAATGAATCATCCCCACCTTCTGTTTTGATTTACTGCTTGCAGTTCCGTCTTCCATATCATTTGCTGTTGATCCAGCCTGCACATATTACAATTGTTAGATAACGTCGTTCACACCAAACCAAAATCTTTTTCAAAACATATACCTTCTCTACATCTGCGTTCTCATCCATTCCTAGTGAATGACTGTCATTTTTTGTGTAAAGGTCCAAGATAGATCTATCTCGTATCATTGCAAGAATCCCATAAGAATTCGGGCCTTTGTAGGAGCTACTTTCGTCTCCGACTTTGATTTGAATTTTGAAGATGCCTCTTTGATCAATTAAAGCCTCTATGTCCTCTGGGAAGTGGGTTGGGTCTCCAGTTTTCTGAAAATGAAAATCGTAGTTAGTAACCATAACAAATGTAAATTAAAAGTGTTTTGAAAAAACCTTTTCAACTTCGTTCATCAATGTTGCTGCTGTTTTACCAACAATCTCAATACATTCCCTATCCCATAAGGTGAATGTAGCGTGACCTGAGTCATCCATGACACAAACTGAAACTTTGTATCTGCAAAAGTTGGCAGATTAATGTTTGTAGTTATATATAGCCTAGTTATAACTAATGGCAAGGGATCTATCTTAAGAAATCATGCAACCTCAAAATCCCCTCGGGAAGAGTTGTGTCACATGTGATGCATCTGAACCTTTCTCCTTCTGGATTGATTTTCTTGTTGCATGTTGGGCAGCTAAGGTAACATCAGTCCTTGTAGTTGTCTAGTGATACAATCTCACCAAGTAGCCAATTGGTTCCATCCTGCGTACATATGTGGGTCACAAAAGTTGATTATTTTTACAAATACACTGCCTTGAATCATCTTTTACCTGCGGTCCCTTTAGCAAATCAGCAATGTTTGTGATAGTAGCCTTTCCTCTAAAAACGTCCTCACTGCCTTGACCCACTGAATTTGCAGTGAAGGTAGTCATTGTTGTATTATCTTCATCTGGTCCGAACTGTGCTTTGAAGTCTTCCAACTCTGGGGTAGAACCATTTATTATCAATTTGCAAACATCATAAGATGTACTAACAAACACTTGACCTGTACAAATTGAAATCTTTCATGAACCCATAAGAAGCTTAAATAAATAACTAAGGTTTATAAAATGCGTCTAATCTTTATCTTGATAGCGTCTAGGTCTTCCCATTTGTAAGATGATGTAGATGGGTTCCTTGTTGTGAGCAGCATAAAAATCAGTGAACTGCTTGCAGTAATTGTTCCACAATGTGCATCCAATACGATTTCCGCTACAAATAAAAGAGTTTCATCATAAATGAATAGGAATCAAACTCTACAATACAATAAATATCATATAAGATTTTGAAGATTAGGAATGTACTCTGGATCTTCTAAAGTTAGTTCAATTAGCTTTTCAGGTTTGTTGTTAACAATCGGTGTTTGTACTGAAGTCTTCCCTACGTACTTACCAATTACATCTGAAAAAAGCTTTGGATTAGTGGCCCAAATATAATAAAATGTGTCTAATCGTTACCATGATAAAAGGCTTTCTTTATAATGATATGTAAATTTACCTATCAGCAATTTGTCATTGACCACCCTTAGACTCTGGAGTGCATCAAATTGGTGAAAGTTGAACACGAAATTAGGAAAAGTTTCTTCATGCAGGTCGTACATCGTAGTTTTCTTGTAAAACTCCAGAACGTAGGGATGTTCCGTTGTTTTGTAGTTGTAGTAGTTATCAAGAACTAAGAAGTTCTTGATTCTAAAACACTTGTTTTCGAGCAGTTTGTTTTTGTATAGATGCATGAACAGCCTCTGTACTACAGCATGAATACGGTCACCCTGCATGATAGACGAATTTTTGTTATAAAATAAAACCCACGTTAATACATAGATATTGGAAAAAATATGAGCATTCATATGAGAAATTACATCCTCATCGTGGAAAACAACTTCCATTCGTGCACCTCCTTTGGATATGGGGATACTTCATAAGCTCTAACCACCCTTACCCTGAGAGCCCATGTTAACTTTGTGTGGTTAACTTCCTTAATCATAGAATACAAAGAACTGTTGTTTGAGTCAGGGATTTCTTTGGTTGTTGCCATGGTGGGTTTGTAAGTGTGAACTGAGACATGAGGATCACCCATATTTATAGTGAATTCGAATATTTAGGGTTTGCAAAGAAATTGAGATTATCCACTGTGCAATAAGCCTCAGCCCTCCCAACCACCACAATAAATGCCACCCAACTCCATTAATGCTCCTGTAATGAATTTGACCACGATTGTCACTTCGGATATAAAGCAAAAAGTACGAAATTTTGACCAAGGCTACCAAAATCGAATTGCCCACATTTGACCCGGATTCGACCCGGTAGTTTGGGCGGGAAATGTGGCAGCATATCCACTTCGTTTTGTATATAAGAAGATGTGGGACGAGTGTAGTAACTTTTTTATTTTGTAACAAATGAAGTTCCGTCCAAATAAATGAAATACTAAAAGTTTGTTTTTGAAATGTTATTGGGAGAGCTTTTCAAATAATGGGGTCGTTTTGAGTAAAACGCTAATATCCCATCACAGCCAAAATATTGTTTTATGGTACATTAAAGGTCATTTATATCATTTATCAAGTATGACCATTAATTAACTTGGAAGTTGGAACTTAAAATAGGTTATAAGCTTTAAAATAAGCTTTAGCAAACAGACACAAAAGGTACTTATTTTGTTGATAATAAGCAACATAGGTTACAACTTACAAGCTACCTTCACAAGTTCACAAAGTTTGAGCATGTTTGATAGGCACAAGTCTCAATCTTCTAACTTATTTAAAAATATTTTAAAACTTCTAGTTGAATGTTATGTTTAAGATTTTTTTAAAAAAATAAAAAAACTTATTTGAGATGTTACAGTGAGTTGCATTTGAGAAAAGCTTGTAGCTTTTAGCATTAATCAGTCTCAATAGTTTGTATGTCAAACAAAACTAAATCAAACAGTCTATTTTTTATCAAACATCTATCACCTTTTATTTTAAAATTTTTTCAGTTACTAATTACTACTCCCTTCGTCCCAAATTATTGTGTAAAGTCAACATTTTTTGTCAACCAATAATAAAAGTCAATGCTTCTTATCGATAATTAATTCAATTTTTAATAACTAAAATTTACATATTCAGAAACTATATTAAAATCTCTTCAAAGTTGCAAATCTCAAATTAGAATATAATTGTAAATTGACATCTTAATTAAGCCAATAAAATGAAATTGTTTGATAAAAAAAGTGGAATTTGTAAATCAATTTGGAAAGAAGCAGTGAAAACCTATGGATAGTGAAAAAATTCGTAAAATATCCTTCCCTTAGTTGTGTCAAACTTGTTAGTGACACGACAGCTTTCTCACCCATTCTATTGATTAATAAACCTAGAGAAGAAACAGTGGAGCCCAGAGACAGAAAAGAATACAAGAGATAGAACTCCTTCCTTTCAAAATTACATCAAGCCTGCCTTCTTATTTGTTGAGATGATACAGCATTACAGCAAATCCTTTTGTTTTCTTTAAATTGACATAAAAACCCAATCTTTTCTCACTACGGGGTTTCCCTCCTTAACACCAAGCTCTCACCTTCTTTTCCTGTAATGCCTATTTCTGTTGGGTTTTTGCTCTTCATATTAACGAGTCATTCTTGAACTTGAACTATAATAACGAGCCATTCTTATTTTCAATTGTCCCTCTAATGCAGGCTGGTGTGATAGAGAATATTGTGGAAGTATTTTCCGCAGATCTCTCTGGTATGGCATTGGTTCTGATTATATTGCCTTATTAATATATTTTGGTGTTTTGAGGTAAAAAAATTCAACTTTATTAAGTCAGATTCTAGATTCTTGGAGATTGAAGGGTTTTTTGAAATGGATAAGTTACAGTGGGGGAATAGAAAAAGGCTAAGATGTATGAAGGTGAAGGAATCTTCTTCTAATGGGAAATCCGATGGTTCTATGATGAAGAGGAAAACAGTTAGAGTTGATAATAATAAGGGGACTATTTCTCCTCCCCATCGTTCCAACAGGTATCTATACCTTGAGTGATTAGTATTTTGTTTATTTGAACGCTTACGATTGGTTGTTTTTGTTTGGATCGTTTCGATATTATGTTTTTATAAAGCTGCAATTTTTTTCAAAGCTCCATTCTCGATTTGAGACTATTGACAACTAATATTCTCTTGGATGATGAAATTTGAGTTTTTTTAATCTAGAGAAAGAACTTTCATCTTTGAATAGCTCAAACTTGGATCTGTATCTTTTCCCCTATTTTTCATGCTATTTTCTTTTTAGTTCTGGAAATTATTTCCCCACATATTGATGAAGATAAGTTTGTGTAGTTGATGGTTGTTCTGAAGGAAAGACCAGATTTTGGTAAGTTTTATATACCAAAAGGAACAGAACCTAAATTTGTAGCTGGTGTAATTTTCGTAAGCTATCCGGACAAGGGACTTCATTTGGACGCAGTAATTCTATCAAGAGTTTGAACAATTTATATCAATACTTTAGTCCTTTGATCTCGAAATTTCTTTTATTACTTTGCAGTGTGATGATGGTATGATGCAGAGTTGATGATTAGGAGGATTTTATAATTTTCCCAAGGAGAAGAAAACTTGAGATATGAAAAGTGGAATTTTGCATGAGTTTATAGTCAAGTAATTTTACAGTTTTAACCAACACAATAAGTTTAGGCTCCATTTGATAGCTTTAATCATTTTATCTTGCTCGTCATTTCAGCAAAATAATCTTGACAAGACAAGCCCTTAATGCCATGGCCCTAACTACTTGGGTTTAAGGCGCTTTCAATGATGATGCTGATTAAAGATAAAACTTTCGATTACAAAAACCACTGTTTTGGCACATTGTAGGGACTTGGGGACAGCTAGGTCTAGTGCGAACGAGTTTAGAAAGCCAATGACATCATCATCTCCTGAGAAAGAGGACCGGTATTACACCACAAGAGGGTCGGTTGGATTGGATGATCATACCAAGGTTCTTCCGAAACCAAAGGAGGAGAAGAAGTTCGTGTGGCCCAAGCTACTCGTCACATTGTCTAGCAAAGAGAAGGAAGAGGATTTTATGGCAATGAGAGGTACCAAACTTCCTCAGAGGCCTAAGAAAAGGGCGAAGTTGATTCAACGAACAATTCTTGTAAGTTTCGGAACACCTTTGTTATAGAAAAAGAAAAAATGACCTTCCTTGTTTTAGTATTTCCTTAATTTCTGCAAAATCTCCCAAATAATTTCCTCGATTTCCTTTTTCATGTAGTTAGTGAGTCCAGGTACATGGTTATCTGATCTGTGTCAAGAGAGGTATGAGGTGAGGGAAACTGAAAAGAAGACATCCAAGAAGGTACCATTAATTCATTTATGTTAAGATGCATTAGCCGAAATAAAGGGCTGTGATATCAGTTACATTAAGAACTATTAAGGGTAAAACCATCAAAAATGATGAAAATTTTGTTGTTCTGAATTTTTAAATGATGAAAGAAAGTTTTGTTGTGAATTTGTATGATATTTTGATCCTTCAATCTGTTTATTTATTCATTTACTAAGAATATAGATCTATTTGAACAGAAGGGAAAGTGTATTTCTGCCATATCTGGTCCATAAGGGAGCCTAGATGACTAATTGTAAGATTATTATATGCGAAAAACTGAAACTAAAATATGACATGTAAATTTGTGACTAGAAGTGGTGACACTAATATCTTAGAGACTAATCTACTATAATCCCATTACTGAGGGACCAAAAGCGTCGTTTCATATTAATTTGAATAATACTTTGAGTATAATCATCAGCTTAAACATCCTTCACTGGTCTCAATGCTTTAATACAAACTGTGTGGCACTAATGTGAATGTTTTTGGAATTTTGTATGTGGTCTTAGAAGCCAAGAGGGTTGAAGGCCATGGGAAGCATGGTAAGTGATTCAGAATAGGATTTGGACGAAAAGACAGAAGCATCTCCCCTTAGGTTGGGATGTGATTTTGGTGCTTCTGTTTTGTTGAAGCAGCAAAGAGATTGCAAGATTTTGAATGGCTTCTATTCTCTTATCACATATGATGATTGGTGGGGCTCTTGGGTCTTTTCCCCTTTACATCTTTGGCTTTCTTTTTTGAATTTCCATTCACTATATTTGTTGTATGGATTCAGTCATAAAGATGCTTCCACCCCTTTACATCTTTGGCTTTCTTTTTTGAATTTCCATTCACTATTTTTACTTTAATTATTTTTTCCATATGTCCATAGCTGTCACGGGTGCCTATATGGTACATCCGGGTGTACGTACACCCGGCCCAACTAAGGGAGACATCCCATTAATTGATTCAGGCCAAAACAAATTCGGTGGCATTTTTTTAATATAAGCGAAAATGGACGGATTCAGCTAAATGAGCAATAATGTACTTTTAATGAGTATCAGACCTATTTTATTGAGCATCTGCGAATTTAATGTAGTATAATAATTTTAAAATATGCATTATTGATATGGCATTTTAAAATGAGCATACCATTACTACCAAATGAGCATACATAACTTACGAAATGAGTATCAAAAAATTTAAAAACGCATTTTTGTGTGCTCAATCATTTTGGACGTTTTACTCATTTGAATTTAACATAAAACTCATTTCATTTGTGTATTCATATGACATTTTAAAATGAGCATAAAACGAATATTAAATGAGCATACGTAACTTACACAATGAGATATAGAAAATCAAAGCACTTCTTAAGAATGAACTGTCAGCTCTGGAGGTCCCTATTATCACAAGCATATACGTATATTAATTGTCAATTGAGTATATCTAACATGTTCACAACTTAATTAAATTAGCAAATTGAGGTGATGATGGATCCCTCTTCTTAAGCATGAGCTGAAAGCTCTGGAGGTCCCTATTATCACTTGCAGGCACGTCTGCAACTAATCTCAAACAGAGGAACAGCCTGGGAGAAGGAATCTGGGGCAGCGCAGATGCTGAAGATGGATTGGGAGAAGTTGATAATAATTTAAAAAATACCCGGATGTACGGTCCTCACCGTTCATCCGGGTGTATGATATAATTTGCGTAGCTGTCACATGTTCTTCTATAAAACAAGAAATAATAAAACATTCTGTTTACATTAATATTTATCTTTTAAATATGTCTTATTTACACAGCAGTTTTTTTATTCCACCCCCTTCCCCCACGATGGAGCCAACTGCCCATTTGTGTTTTGGTTTTCCCATTTTTTATAATCAAGTGTCTGTATTTTTTATACTAATATCACTTTTTTCACCTTTTATTTTTTATTTTAAAAAATAGACTACACAAGACGTTAATTTTCAATAATGACCTCATGCCCTATTTTATTGGGAATGTTTCTCAAATAGGCTAAAATGATAAACTAATATCACTTTTTTCAGTTTTGATTTTTTGTTTTAAAAAATAGACTATGCAAGACCTTTTCAATAAGGGGATGAACCGCGCGCCTCAAACACGGTTGTGCACACCCACTTTTTGTCAAATCTGGACAAGATTGTCCTTAGTCAAAGCTCACACCACTGGCACCACCTATGTAATACTCCCTCCGTCCCATAATTAACTTCGGTTTTGACTGTGTACGGGGATTAAGATAGTGGGATTTGTGTGGTGGAGAGTTGTGCATAGGAGAGAGAAATGTGTAAGAATAATTGTGAACCACATATTCTTTATCAAAAAGGGAAAGAGGAGATAAATTTGGGACGGACCGAAAAGGAAAGAATGAAGATAATTTCGAGACGGAGGGAGTAATAAACATCCTCCTTTATTGATATTAATTTTTAATTTTAATGGACCCAAAAATTTGTAGGAATTCTTCGTAGGATCACAACGCCTAATAATTTGACATTTACTCTCCTCCAATAACTTGCTGTCATGTGGCCAATTTTCCTTTTTTATAAAATGTTATAACTTTTCCAATTTCACTCCTATTTTTATAAAAAATATATCAAATTAAATAATTTTTTATGATCTTCCATATGACACCAATATCATATATGTAAAAAAAAAAAAAACATTTGTTCAAGTCTATTGAACAGTCGATTAATGTATATTTACCACGTAGTATTTTTTAAATGTAGTCTAGTCTGATCTTATCTAATTTATTGAATCTGTCTGGATTGAAATCAGTTCAATTAAAAACATTCTAACTCTAGAGGACTAATTGGCTTAGGCAGCCAAAAAATCGGCCGAGTTAATGACTCAAATAGGACTAAAACAAGTTCGGTGTGCACAAATAGGACCAAAAAACGAATCTATGTTTCATAGGACTTAAAAACACATATTTGTACAAAAATGCCCTCATTCAACTTTTATTTGAATTTAAAACTAAAAAAGTAAAATTAAAATTTCAGGAAACCCTAATAATTCACACAAGAACTTTAGTCAGTCTCAACGCAATTGGCACTTGCCGCCGCCTTTGGTGGCGCTGCCTACTACCGCCTGCGCAAGCGCCGCCGTCCTCACCGCCGCCTGTCACCGGCGTTGTATGCCTCTTACCGCCTGTCACCGCTCTCCCACACCGGAGTCACCATCCGACGTAGCTTCCGCCATCCTCCGACCACCACCAGTGGAAACTTGACCTCCGAGCACCGTCACAACTCTGGCTCAAAAAAACTGCCATAGAGTTGTCAGATTTAATCTGGGAGTTTCATTTGAATTCTGCCATGAACAAGGATTTCAAATCTGCTACATATTTGGCAGATCTATCTTGAAATAGTAACACAAAACGGCCATATATTTGGCAAAAGCATGAAATGAATAATCAAAAGTTCAAAAAATTCCAAATTGTAATTGAATAAGCACGCTAACACAATTGAAAATTACAAATACGAAGTTATTTAAAAAGAATCAGAAAAGCCAGTTTACATATGCCTTTTTTGCCATAATATGATTTTGTCAGTGTACATTTCTGCCATAAACATGGCAAAATCATATGCCATCATCCAGAAAATCAGAAATTTTCAAATACTAGGAAATACTCCGTAAGAAATTAGAAATACTAAAATAGAAGTCTGAAAAAATGAACAAATCCATATCAAAATCCTGAAAAACAGAAGAATAGAAATATGGAAAGGAAGATGAAGGCGAAGGAGATGGAAAAGATGGAGAAGGGGAAGGAGGAGGAGAAGAAGAAGAGGAAAAAACCTGAAATCCGAAGGAAAATAAAGTTGATGATGGTTGATGGAGAAAACGACGAAGCGGAGGCGGCGGAGGCGACGAAGGCAGAGGCAGTGGAAGCACCATGCGGTGGAGTAAGCGATGCGGCAGATCTGGGATGCGGTTACTATTTCTTTGGGGTCTGGAGAAGTAATCGGCCGATTGATGAGTGGGGAAGGAGAGAGAGAATGTGTAAATGGGTTCAAGGGCAAATTTGGGATGGTAATTTTCGTATGTTTAATAATAGGAGTAACTTGGTCCTATTAATGGAAGAAAACATATCAAGTCCTATTTTTGCATTTCTCTCCTATTTTAGTCCTATATAGGACAATTACTTAAAATCGGCCTAGTCGCTAGGCGCTCGTCAACCACCCGACTAACATCTAGTGAGTTTTAGAACAATGTACAATTCTGGTCTGATTTGATCTAGTAGTGCTAATATCTAAGTTGTATATAGTATAGCATAACATGAGACTGAAACGAGTTCAACTGAAATTATTCGTTACACTGTACAAGTTTAAACATGATCAAAAAATTAATTATGCTTATTTATATTAAAAAACTATTGGTAAATAAAAATATACTCCGTATTAAACTAACATTCTAAATTGTATATAGGAGCCGTTAATTTATAAAAAGACAACTGCAATGAAAAAGTATATATATGTGATCATCAAAATATTAACAAATATTTTATACAACAAACTTAATGAAACACATTCTGCCAATTTTTTTTTTAATGAAACACCTAAAAAGAAGAACTGTGATACAGATAGTGTGGCAGATGAATGACTCATAAGTCTGAAAATCAAGAGTACTAATTTTTAGTAACACATGTACAAGACTAGATCAAATCAGACCAGAATTTAGCATTGTTCTAAAACTCACTTGGTGTTAGTCGGGCGGTTGACGGGCGCCTAGCGACTAGGCCGAGTTTTTGGCCGCCTAGGCCGAGTTTTTGGCCGCCTAGGCCGATTAGTCCTCTACGGTTAGAATGTTTTTAATTGAACTGATTTCAATCCAGACAGATTCAATAAATTAGATCATATCAGACTAGACTACATTTAAAAATACTACGTAGTAAATATACATTAATCGGCCGTTCAATAGACTTGACCAAATGTTTTTTTTTTAATTTTTACATATATGATATTGGTGTCATATGAAAGATCATAAAAAATTATTTAATTTGATATATTTTTTATTAAAATTGGACCAAAATTGGAAAAGTTATTAACATTTTATAAAAAAAGGAAAATTGGCCACATGGCAGCAAGTTATTGGAGGAGAGTAAATGTTAAATTGTTAGAAGTTGCCCCAGATTTACGTATCACAATTATCTAATAAGCTGTGCGCCAGATTTGAGTAAGGACAAACTTGTCCAGATTAGACAAAAAGTGGGTGCGCACAGCAATGTTGGAGGCGCGCGGAGGAAGAGCATTTCAATACTGACCTTACGCAGTTACGCCTCTTTCAAAAAAAAATAATGACCTTACGCCCCTATTTTATTGGGAATCTTTCTCAAGTAGGCTAAAATGATAAACTAATACTGAGTACTACATATCACTTTTTTCACCTATGATTTTTTATTTTAAAAAATAGACTATGCAAGACCTTCTTTTCAATAATGACCTTACGCCCCCTATTTTATTGGGAATCTTTATCAAATAAGCTAAAATGATATACTAATATCACTTTTTTCACCTTTGATTCTCTTCACAAAATGGGGAAAAAAATTATTTGTGTCTAGACAATTTGACCAGCTTGTAAAATGACATGTACAAACATCATTTCTCAATTTTACACTAAAGTGGCTCAATTAAGAAATTTACACAGTTTTATTTCACTATAAATAGGCTTTACATTTGGGCTTACTGAACCGAGTTAGTGGTGTAGCCCATATTATCAATATCTACTACGTAGTAACGGTAGTATATGTAAGGGAGTGTATCGGACGGGTTCGGGTAGGACACGTTAAGGTGTGGTAAACCCGTTCGGTTATTGAGTTTATAATTTGAAACCTTACTCTGTCAAAACAAACTGATCGGCCTTTCGGGTTGAACAAGTTCGGATTGCAGTCGGATTCATTCGGTTTTCATGTTCATTCGGATTTTATATGGTTTTGTTGAAATTGTGATAAATAAAATGGTAATTAGTAAAAATACCGTTCGAAGTCATAAAACTATAACATATTAACATCCAAAGTAATAATTGTACAAATAGAGGTAATTGACATATTTCAACATGCATAATAATACTCCCTACGCATTTCAAAGTTTGCTACATTTTCCCTATTTCATAAGTTTGTTCTTTAAAAATACTCAACTACCTTTATTTTTTCTATGTTTTTTTATCTTTCATACTTTTCCACTTTCTCTCCTACTTTTTCTATACTATTCATTACTCCTACTATTTCATCCTTAAATAATGTGTTCAAACATATTGTAGTGAACTTTTAAATACGGAGGGAGTATAACATAATAGGATGAATAATACGGAGGGGCTATAATAAAACTATCTAAACAAGGACTTAGACAAACTTGAATCACAATAAAATAATTTTCAACAGATGCTTTTAGATATTTGTCCATCTTTTCTTGTTTAGTAAGGTTTTTAATCAAAATACATTTATACCCCCATTTTTATTACCATTGCCCTTTTTTTACTTTTTATATACTACTTTCTCTTTTCTACTTTATCATTTACTTTACTTTTCTCAATATATTCTATTTCCTAATTTTTCATTTAACATACACCCTCTATACTACCCCTACTATTTTCTTCTTTAAAACCACAATAAACCTAAGAGGACTATTATTGAAGAACTGAGGGAGTAGTAAACAAAAGAGAACAAAATGGCAAATTTGAGCAATATTCAACATGCACTCTTTATATCTAGTTTCTAGCTTCCAGAGTTCCAGTAGCCACTCAGCCGGTCATTGTTCCTGTGTACAGGGGCGGCCCTAGGGGTGCAACGGGGG